CAGTATGAATAGTCTAGCGTCCTTATTGGTCCCTTATCCGCCTAGCCCTTCCAATTGAGTCCAGAACACCAATAGCAGCTTCTGCCACGCTAGTCATTTATTTCAAGCATACTCGGTTTATATACCAGACTGACAGACCACTTACACCATAAAATAGAAAATAATATTTGTACAAGATCAGGCCAAATGTGGCTGTGAACGTGGGGTACAATAATCAATACGCTGAATATAGTTTAAGGATAGTAAATCGTGTAATAATAATTCAAAGGTCAAAATGAAGCTTATAACAAGATGAATATAGATATACACAATCTAGTTACTCACTAGTTAAACTACAAGAACATATATAGAATAATCGTCCATTGATAGAACCCGGAAGTTACCCGTATTTATTTCTTCACCAGGACATAACAAGCCTCACCCATAAATGTACAAAATCTTATCTTTATTCACAACTATTTGTCTATTTCTGGAGGCTATGAGGACGTTAAGAATTTATTTTTAAGAAATCCTAACAATCTTCACGAATTTATCATTGATGTATTCTCTAATTTACAATTTTCGTTGTTCACAATTATCATTGACACTTAAAACGGTGAAATAAGATATTATGACATTAAGACGCTAGTTTACCTTAGACAGATTTCTACACTAGATACACTCCTAGTTTCTATTCTGCAAGACTTCAACACAACTCAAATCAAGAATACGCGCCTGACTTGACCAGGACATAAGTATATTTCCACGCCAACAACCGACAATAATAATAATAAGGTTAGGAGAATATATAACTCATGTCATACCTGTCAGACTACTTACTAATCTGATTAGGCAAATAACCAATCATTATTCCCCTTGCCCTTACATCGTATATTTTCCTCAATAATTCGATGTGATTGCAAAATAATTTATCAGAATTTTCGTCTGGATTTGAACGAATAGTTTCTTAATAGCTGAACACAGAGCTACTGTAAGAGATTATGTAGGAAAATTATAATGTGAAAATCTCAGCAACTGAACTTAAAGTAAACCCAACGTTTCACTCGGTAATCTGGTCTAAGTTTTTTAATGAGATATATAACTCCGTTTCTGGTGTTAACTACCATACCACCTGTTACACATTACGAAGTGACTTTGCTAGACAACCGTTAAGAGCCAAGAATTAGTATAGACTAAGTTTTTCTATTACAGCACTCTTTAAGAGTAAGCACCCACAATTTCATAATGTTTTGAACTCTAGGACTTCGTGATATTTTTCTTACTTTTGATATGGTTGAGCTCTGCTGGTGATGGTTTGTCACCATAACTGTAAGATTACTTCAAGCAGCTAGTCACTAGTAAGTACATGAAGATTATTATCATTAAGGTGCTACAAAGATTGAGTAAATGAAAGTATTCAAACACAAATACGATTATTTTCTCTGAAACAGATTAAATTAGACAAGTTATCAATGATATTAACTTGTCGTTAATTAGTATTCTTCGAATAAATAGTCGTTCTTCGGTCATTGGGAACGTTGTTCTAATTTCCCAACATATTTTTCATTGCTGAACGGCCGTTTCGTTCTAATATGAGCCTCATTTCGTTATTTTGTACAACTATATTTTTTAGCGCTGTTAAAAAACGAATAAGGCAAGCGATCAGCTACTTAGTGTACAATTACTATTTTATTGTTCATTCTATACTCACTATTCACTCTGTTGGTACATAAGCGTTTATGAATGTCTGTGAATATTTTCCCGACTACTTAGTCAAATTAAATCTAGATACGCTTTTTATATTCAGAACAACTGTCAGTCAGCATCAAAGTCGGGATCTTAGGTACGGACATCAAGACAATTCTACTATAAGGAGCTCAAACTTTGAGAACTACCACAACCATCATCAAAAGAGTACAAGTATTTATCAACAATTTCTACACAAAATACTCAATATCCGTCGACCGTATGCCATCAGCAAAAAATTACTGTAGTGGAGAACAAACCAACTTTTATCTGAATAGGAAATTAGGAAAAGATGTTGGAAGTTGATAGGACATATATTACTGAAATCATCAAACTGCATCACGAGGTGAGCGTTAACTTGGAATGCTGAAGGAAAACCGATAAGAGGAAGACAAAAGAACACACTGCATCGAAAATTGGAAGCAGACATGAAAATAATGAATAGCATCTGGAAACAAGTGGAAAGGGCTGTCTAAGACAAAGTTCGATGGAGAATGGGGATGAGCGGCCTAGGGGTAAAAGGCGTAAGTAAGTAGGTAATATAATTTGCCATTACTTCATCCTCTTCTATGTCGATGGTATCAATGATATTTTGATGTTTCTTCCTTATTTACTAACGTACCTATCAACAGAGCGTTGGATATTATTTATGCTTGTTTAGAATCTGATTTGGATTTAAATTTACGTTGCCCGTTAGATCCATCTGAGTTTATCAAATGTTTGGAACTATGTTTAAGGTCCACCCTATTCATATTTCGAGGAGATCTATACAGACAAAAAGAAGGTATGGCTATGGGCTAACCAGTTTCTCCGATTGTAGCGAATTTATTCATGCATTCACTGGAAACTAGTGCAATCGCAAGAAGTGTTTTTCCACCAAAGGTCTGGTTACGGTATGTAGATGACATTTTTGTTATCATTAAACAGGACTATTTTTAAGAATTGTTTGCAAATGTGAACAACATTTCGGAACAAATTAATCTAACGAAGGAAATAGAGTCTGTTAACCACAAACTGGCATTTCTCGACTGTATGGTTGAGCGAAGACTTAATAATAGGAAGTTGAAAATAAATGTTTTCAGAAAATCAACACATTCAGAAAGATACTTAGATTTTGATTCGGCTCATGCTTTATGTACGAAAGTCACAGTTGTTAAAAAATTAATTAACAGAAGTCTTAAGCTTGTTATAGATAAGGAAGACCAACAATATGAATTGAATAGGATTTTGTCTACACTTAGGGATAACAACTACCCAAAAGAGTTTTTAAAGATTGTTAGAAAGGAAAGAAAAGCTAAACTACAATGTGTACAGAAAGATTGGAAGTGCACTGTAGTCATACCATACCGTAGTGAAACATCGGAAGAAATCAAACGGATCTTAAACAAGCATGATATAAGAGTGTATTTTAGAACATGTGACACTATAAGATCGTCATTGGTGAAGGTTAAGGATAGGTTACCAAAGGAAGAACAACAAAATATTGTCTATGAGATCAATTTTCAAGATTGTAATGCGGCTTATGTTGGAGAAACATCCAGACAATTGAAGGTAAGGTTGAAGGAGCACAAACAATGTTTAAAAAATGTTCCCAAAACTTCGATTGACTTAAGGAAACTTGAGAATAAGTCTGCAATAGCGTTACATGCGTTGGGAACGGGACACATGATTAATTTTTAAGGGGCCAAAATACTTCAGAAAGGTTTCAACACTCATAAAGAAAGATTGACAGCAGAAGCGCTGTATATATGGGCGAATAAGAACAGCCTAAACAGAAAGGATGGTATTCAGCTAGCTACCACTTGGCAAATATTCATCAACAAGTAATTTGACCTTTTCTTTTATTCAACCTGTTTACTTCACATGAATCGTTATTATGACTGAAATCAATATGAGTTATGTTTAGCATAACAATTATGTACTTGATGATTCTCATTTTATTTGCAATTTCGATGATTCAGAAAAAACTTTTCAACCTTCATTCTGCACTTTTATTCTTATTTTTACTTCACATAGAAACAAATCAACACTGAATATCATTCATTATACATACATACATACACACAATTTATGCAGTCTCCTTTAATTCACATCGTTGAACTTTTTCACTTGATTCTCATTCAACTGACTCATATTATCCTGTTTAAAAAACTTCGACATCCAGATATGATTGGATTAAAAAGTAGTAGAAATTTTGATATGATTGTTAAAAAAAACACTATATATTTCTTTGATGATTTTGATTTTGATTATTTCCCTGAAGAAGTCCAGACAAGTTAGCTGGACGAAACGTCGGAATTATTTATATTTCAATCGCTGAGACTATTTCAAATATAATAATTTTTCACATATAATAATTTGTTAAATGTTTGTCGATAAAGGTACTGAGTTTGAATTCCAAAGTGAACATTAACACTGTGGTCCAACTGTAAATCCAACTGAAGGGTCCCAAATAGATTGAAATGCTTGTCCTACATTTCATTGATAGTCACAATTTATTTATTCAATTTAAATATTTCTGTACTGTTTAGAAATACAAATAAACGACAAATACAGCCATTTAAAAATTTTGTTTAAAAATCTCATAAAAACATACTTTGTGACATTGAGATATCATTGGTTCTGTGCAGATAGCTTGTTACGTAGGTTACCTCAATGACTCTTGAATAAACTTACAAATGAATTGATAATTGCTAGCCCAATCTATAACTTGCGACGAATTAAAAAACCTTTTCTCTGTGGCATCACTAAACGAGTATACAAAATATCTATGACAACGAATTTCGCGTGCTGGATCGTGGATGCCTACTCCTGAGAATTCCCATATTAGAACGAAACCGTCTTCCAGTCCTTCTAGGGTTTTAATGGTGATCTAGCTTATATTGACTCATGAATTCAACCATTAAAATTACTTCAATCTTTAAAAATCCCATTCTGAAATAAATATTTAACCATATAAATTTATTCAGTGAAGAACACACAGTTGATACCGAATACACTATGAATTTACCAAAATTCATTAAACTATATACATAATTAAAAAAAATTAAACAGATTTTTATGTTAAGTCGGTTTCCAGCGAACTCCAACAGAGCCTCCAGAGGCTCAAAAAGAGCTCCAACCAATCAGAGCACGACAGAACATTCCGGAGTTCCAACGTGGCACGCTATCATTGGTCAGTAGCAATTTATGTCGTTAAGTGGATTGGCTGAATTAGGATGTTGATATAACTTAAGCAAACATCTATAAATACCTACGATTTTCTGTACAAAAATGAACCTTGCAATAAAGCATCTTCTCGTTACTCGTGTCTTCTCTCTGGTCTTCAAGTCGCTGAGTAGTGCAAGCCTGGGGGTTTATCGGAATAGCTTAGGACCTGAATATAGCGTTCAACCTACAAGACATATCATTTTAAAAATTATTAAGTATTCCAAGAATATTGCCATCATGATTTAACAATGGTACAGACGTATTTAAATACGCCAAATGTCGATTCACTAGAATGCACTGCTGACATTCCATCACATGTTCACTAAATACGAATCTAAAATCAGTTTTTACGAACAAGTGAATTGCAATAAATAAACGAATCAGTAAATATCAATGTGCCACACATAGAAATAAAGGATAAATTTAACCACATAACTCAATGGTTTTCACTACTAACTAATTAAAATGAGAACAGATTTCATATATTTGTTATTCGCAATTACTCTATACTCACTTCTATGTCTAGAAGTTAACAGTGCACAGGGGCAAGAGGAAGTAACATTTAATGTATCATTAAATAATAGACAAGCAGAATCAAACTCACGTAATACTCACATAAATACAAAGCAATCGAGAGAAAAAGGAAATCGAAATTCTCATGGACACAGAAGTAATCAACATTCAAATAGAAATGATGTAGTCGGATTCCACTCTTCAAATGAACTATTCGGACTGAAATACTCAAATCAAAGAAGAAGTGATATTTATACTAAAGGTTACCAAACATTCTTTGGAAAGCGTAGACGAGGCAGTAAATCACATGTGAGAACCGCATTCAGAAGACGTTCTGGCTACGATTACAATGGTCGAAACGAACGAAGTTCCACATTCGAAAGTTATGGTGAGGCAGACAGTTTCGATAGAAAGAAGATACGTGATGTGTTTGATGTGAATGGATATATTTCGGAGGGTCGAAAGCGTAGTAAAGTTGGTGGATACATCAAAGACGAACGACATGGAGTTATGTTAGGTGGACATAAGTCGAAAACATTGGAGAATGATAGGCAATCCTCTGAAAGCAGAAGACACTCTGAAAAAAATACTCATCATCAGCTGTCTACTAATCACACTTCGGAAAACATTACAAGGTTCGATTCAAGTCGCTAAGGTCGACGTGTAACGTTACATAAATAAATAACTTAAATTTACACATTTACACGATAATGAAGATTCCTTGTTCGAAATTAATACTCAGTTTCCCATTCCTGTTTCTTTACGAATCGCATCAAACTAAAATATATCAACCATGAATTAGTGATGGTAAATCGTCAATGTATTCCATCCATCATTTGTTCACATCAATAATAAATATTGTTTCATTCTTACCAATCCTTCATTCTTATCTTTCAAATCATTCTTACCAATGAATGTCTGTTAGATACATTAGGTTCCTTTTCGTCATCATATCGACTTCTCATTTATAAAATTCCCCAGTTTGATCTTCCTGATCACTGGAAGATGAAATCTGTTGAAACCGTTTTTGTATTCCTATAAATCACGTTTGCAAACTGTAATAGGTCATTGTGACAGTTTGTGCATTGTAAGAACAGATGGGTCAAGTTGCTTTACGTTCTCTTGCTTTTTTCTCTTTCCCTCAGTTCTTTTATGTATTGTTTCATACAACTTATTAATAATCAATAAATAATTGTAGGTAGTACTTTTATGACGTACATTGCAGCAATCCAATGCGTCAGCAGGAAACTTTTACGTTTTTCGTAAGTGGATAGCCTGATGATTTATGAACGGTGTTATTTAAGATTTTTTCTTGTGACAGAACGAATCAATGATAATTATCTACAACTAGAGGAAGTAAAATGAAAGCAAAGAGCAAGGAACAACAAAACGCTGAATACCAAAATATGTTAGTCAGGTCTATCACTGTTCATGTTAGATATTATTCAATTAAGTTAAGGTTGCTATGGACAGTGTTAATGTAAAGTGACAGCAGCTAAGTGGTTTCACATAGGGAATTCACCATTAAGAATGGCTAAACATTTAAAGTTCGTATAATCTCACTTGTGGAGTAAGATACACTTACAGGTTCTAGAAAATTTACAGTTAAAGTAATTCATATAGAGAGATGATCTAAATGTGTTTGTTTCGTTGTCTGGATCCTTTGATTCATTATGTGAAACTTGATTCTGATCTCAGTACAATGCAATCAAATGTCAATCATTTTAGTGAATCGCTTTGCAGTTTAATTATTTCTCTATGGTTATAGTTTGTCCTTAAAAATATCAAGAAATTCATTCTGCTACACTTTAATGTTTTCTAACTTTCAATAGTTTCTCGGCTGTTATCTGTTTGTGATAAAAGCTGTCATCAAAAATGATAACCCTCTAACCAATTAAGAAAATATCAATTCTACTTTCATTGCATACTTTCCAGAAACGCCCCAAATACCTATCTGGTTTACTTGACCAATCAACTCCAGCATGGTTATATTTTATTTGTCAATACTACGTTAAGCTTATATACCTAATTCCATCAAAGGATTCTAGTAATTATATGATTATTTAATCGTGGTCTTGAGAAAGTTTCAACTTTTACACACCGCAGTCTCTATTACCAAGATAAGAAACAGATTTATTTCTGGCATTTCAGCGTGTAACTGGCTCAAGTTACCCTAGATCTCAGGTAATTTTGTATATTTTCTAGACTGGTCCTGTCACGTTATTAAATTTAGTGGATAAAATTGTTTTAAAATTGTGACGTAAAATGCTTTAGTAATAAATTTATTTCAGATGCTAACTCATTAGACCAAACGTATAAAACACAGAGGTTATTGTGTAGTGGATGCTACTTACAAGATCGTTTGTAAGTAGTTTGTAAGTAGTTTGTAGCGGGATATGATGTCGAAGTTACGACAACTGTCAGATTCAGTGGGGGGGTTCGAAGCATAGAAAGTAGTACCTTGGCGGAACACATAGAGGCTAGTTGAAAAGACAGTGCAGATTTCAGAACACACTGAAAGAGGCAAATAAAACAACTACAGGCTGGGTATTATGTAAATAATAGTAACCTCTCGCAACAAGCATACCACTTTCCTGTCTTTTGTCGTGTTTCACATTAGGAGGTGTGAATGAATTACTTTGTGTGGTTTGCGTAGATTACCAATCATTATACAGGATGAACATGGTAGTTGAAAGAAAAGAATGACAGAATATTTGCGTTTTCGAAGTACTCATCTACGTATAAACTTTAGTACATTCATCCTCACTTGCCTTAGATTATACCTACGGATAATCGCAAGGAGACAATACATTGAACCCTGTTTAAAACACATTATATAAGGTAGTTGTTTCAAACCGAACTGTCTTCGTGCAGAACGTAGTATTATAATGAATGACTAATCCGTACATGTCAATTTCAGTTTTATTTTCAACATCTCAAAAGCATTCAGTTTGAAACAGAACCACTACATGTCTTCAGCACTCAGTTATTCACTTTTCTCCTTTTACATTGACTTTCACAAGTAATTCAAATACTACACCACAGTAGATTACAATGAGTTTGATTCATCTATCCAGTTCATATTCATCACCTGAAATGTGTTGACAATCGATTCGCAATGAAATATGTTCAGAAGTGAAGTCTCCAGATTCTTATTTTTCAATTCACTAACCAAGATAAAGCATGATTACTATAAAGATATGAATAGGGTTATGATTGACTCCGAAATTAAATGTATCTAGTAAATTTTGATAGAAGGTCTAATCGACTGAATCAGTATTCAACGTTGACCAAACAATAACCATTTCACAATTAGTTGGTCACTGAGTAGTGAACAATGTCTTGTATTTCAAGTCCTTCATAGTGGTGATCGATAGAAATCGAGATGTCAAGTCACTTTGACTAGTACTGACCATATTTCATTTTGGTCGATAGAATTGGATCAGCTCATGAGAGATTAGACATACATAGCATTGGTAACTACTCAATAATGAGTCAATCATAGATACACCTCAGTCCTACAGGATGTCAGTGGAGGCGCAAAGGGAACATAGTCGAGATTGAGTTCTGTCTTTGAAATGATCAAGTGTGTGAAACCTCACATTTGGATGATAGCATTCTTCAGTATTCACTCCCAAATATCGATCCGTGAAGTTAACTGACTTCCACAAGATAAATACGAAAGTTATGCAAACATGCAAAATAATGCTCTAGAGTGAGATCGAAAACGCTGAATAATCTTGATAAAGCTATCCTTATAATAGGTAATTCACATCGCGGAAAATTTCGAGATGGAATGTGATGTTAGTGAAAAATTTAAAACATACATCATTAGCAAAATTTAATATATGTATTTAATTATTCGTAGTCGTCTCCATCGAAATACTACAAACAGTCCTATCAGTAAGTCATCAATCAACATAACAGTAAAAACAGTAAAAATCATTAAGTTTGGCGAAGCATTAGGATTTCGTGCCTCCTATTGGCGAACTTCCGAATATAACAGGCTATCCAATATTGGCGAAATCTGATATCCAATGTGGATCGTGAATAAATTTATTCTATGTTAAGTCTCTTTATGTTCTCTGTCTTTATTCTCTTTCGTTCAACTTTTTTGTGTATGTGTTTTACATAACTTATTCATAATCAGTAAATGATTGTACTCACAGCAATGTCTACGCGTATGTTGTAATGCAAGTTTGTCGTGTAATATTCTACATATACTTATAACATTTATTGTATTTATCATTATAATTACTTTCTTTCAATCCTCGTGGCAGCTATTCTCAGTTTTTGCATCGTCGTTGACTCCTTATTTAAGCACAACGGTTTCCATATCGTTTGCTATTGATCCCGTTTTCGCTTGTTGATAAACTGTTATCAATTTTAGACATAACTATCAGCTACTATTAGCACTATCGTATGTTGTAATTATTCTTAATTTTTATTTCAGACTAATGAACTCGATAAACGCCACAAATACCTCGTAATTTGGGGTTTGTAACTAATTTATGTATATTATTCAATAAGGAACCGCTTTTTCACGAATCGCGCGTGTCTTAATTATGTGATTTAGACGCTTTGATAGATTTAACAGTCTATGTGATGATGATTTGTTATTCCTCAAACCAGGTTTTATCTATCTCACAATTTATTGTGATTTTTTTTGTTCATCTCACCATTTTGTTAATTTGATCGTTACAAGTACGTTCTAACCAAGTTGTTGCAGTTCATGTCATATAATATCAATTAGAATACAATTTAACTTATACGTTATCAACGATTCAAACAAGTGACAAGTTAACATACTTAACTCAAAGGAAATGAAATCACAGGAATTATTAATCACAGGGTGAATTTCGTGTTGAAGGCGGATTATCCATTAGCAAAATTGACGACTTTATGTGAAATCAACTGCTTGCTCAAACAAACAAAAATTGGCAGGTCCTCTTTTCTCAGTAATTTCAATTTACATGAACGTGCCAAAGCGCATACATTAGAAGAATCGAGGGAAGAGCACATGTTTGCATTTCCGAACATGTTCAAAAGAACTTGAACCTACGAAGGGCAACGGCTCTTAGCAGTATAGTAACTCAACATTTACTTGATGCCGGGAACACCACTGATATTCCTCAAGATAAAGAAACACTGCTTCACTTCTGTTTTCTGAAGCGATTGTGATAAAAAAAACTTGAACCTGATTTATGTACTCCAAAAGAGACCGTAATCAACCTATTACTACCCCGATGAATCATTTTTGTCATTATTTTGATAGTGTTCATTTTGTCATGTCGTTTTTCTTTATCAAATTCTCATTTTATGTACATTAAATTCACCCCTTTAGTCATACATTTCTATTCAGTTACTTCTCTTAACTTACGTAAACTCTTCAAATCCTGTTCAATTATTACGCAACCCATCTTATCAGTTTAAATGTTTTTAGTGGAATCATAATAATACTTCGGATAATCGATTTATAAAATAATGATGAAGCCTTTAGCTACAACCTTATATTTGCTGCTTAAATTACCATACTTTTTCCTACCTAGGAATCCAAAATGTTACAAAATTTACATTTTTTATATATTCACTCAAACTGAACAATTCCGACAGTGAATTCACATTCTTTCTGAATAAACATAACATGTAAATGTTATGTTGAACACATTGATAACGCTACACTATAATCTGAAATGTGGGTAATAAGCCACATCAGAAACTATTGTGTAAAGATGGTACACCTGACAAGGATTTCTGTTAGTCACTAGAAAGTGACTGAAAGCAACTCAACAGACTGAAATACCAAAGATAGGTCGGTTAGAAATAGTTGACAGTAAACCGAAGAAATAAGTTTTGTGTTACCTAGTACTCAATAATAAGGCGTATCTCCAGTCCTGATGGAGTTGATGTTCCCTAGTGGTTTTAGACTTAGGAAACCCAGTTTCACAGTCTGAATCGTTACAATCAAGCTGTTCTCACCATTGACGTGTGATCAATTAATTTAAGCCATCTATTATTGAAAACACTTGCGTGTTTTATTTTCTTAAACTACCATCTCCTCGGTCAATATTTATTGTACCATAAAAGGAAGCAACTAAGAATGATGCTTCTGACGGTTAGTGACCAGAACGGCTATATAATGTTTGAAAACACTTTACGTTTTCCTAACTCAATGTTTGTCCTTTGATGTTTAAGCCCGGAAA